CATCACAATAAACGTTTCTATAGAAAATAAATTCGAGGAATAATGATTCACGAAAGAAAAATTACATTTCATTGTTATATAGAAGGTGATTTCTAAAGTGTCCATTTAAGAAACAGAAGCAAACGAAATTGTCCGGGGAGAAAAAATCGATTTTGAAATATATTTTATCAACTTATTTTACGCAAACAGCAGATATAGAAAAACAATCAAGCAAGAAAAAGAAGTTTCCCTGATCGGGCTTTCTTTAATGCAGATAATTTCAACTCTGAAATAATATGCTTGTTTAAACATAATGCAACTCGAAAGTCAATGACCTTGAGCAGAAAATACTAACACCGAGAAAATCTCCAACATTTATTCGCTTTATTCATAAGGCTTTCTTAAATAAAAGAAAGTCCCATAAAAAAAAACATGTTTAATCACATTTAATGTATGTACATTGTGATGCGAAACGTTGTCCGGATAATATTGTATAAAAGCTCTCGATATTCATTCGCTGAATGTAAACTGTAAATATAAACGTGTGGTCGACCCAGCTGAGTTTAGCAAGCGAACAAGTGACACATCAGGGTGACAAGAAGATATATACTTATCACACTTTACAATCTTCGTGGGAAGTAAAATCTAGGTTCGAATAAAAAAAACCTAAGCAACACAAACTCGCACACATATTATTTAATGGTATGTTCATGTATATACTCTATAATTTCTCGCGTAAAACATTTGGTTTCGCATTAGATATTACAACGATGATATCATATCAAAATCTAAGACTAAAATGACAATAAATAATTCGAATTTATGAAGTAATAGACAAACAGAAAGGAAAATAAATTAGGCAAGCAAAAATGAAAAAAAGATGGATACAAGAAGAAAAAATGTAACAAGGATGAAAAGAAGTATTTATATTTTTATTCGATACCTCTCTTTAAAAAATACATCTTTTCTCCCTTTCATTTAATTGAAAATAGAAATATAATAGCTGGTTACACTAACTGATTCGATGAATAAACCTAGGATTTTTAATACTGATTTTCACAGAAGATAAACAAATTATCGTGGAAATAATGCTGTAAAATACATTTCATTTTTTTCTTTTCGTGCCATATAAATTCATGTTAAATCATATATATTAAATCATACAATTTATACGGCAAACATTTAATAAGGTCGAAAACAGTGAAATTATTACAATGAATTTATCCAGTAAAGGATTATTCGAAGAAAACTTATCCCTATTAATTGGTTGACCTAGTCAATAGAATATAGAGAATGGACGTTTTATATAATGAAACAATTCTCATTACCGCTGGGCAAAGTTGTGGATTTCTCTCCCCAAAACATGCAGGTGTGTTTCTCCCCGTGCTTTTTACCTCAAGGGAAATTTATAATTAGTGACATGTCCGAAGCGAGTGGAATCTTATGTTACTGTCATGTCTACTTAGAATTAGGCAAATCTTAAATGGCTTCAGTCAACGGAAATTGGATCTGGAGTCGGTGATATTAAAGCGGCTGAAGAAAACGGATTGTAATTTGTGCTAACAAATTAGGAAGAGCATGGGACTCTATGAAGCGAGTTTGTAAGTACGAAAACAGAAAGGATATTTCATTATAATCTATATTGAATATTGTAGGCTATCACAGATTAACTGAAATCTCATTTTAATTGCCCAATGAAAATGACCGACTGAGAGAGATACAATGGTAGAATCAAGAAAGAGAAAGCAGAGAAAAAAGTTAAGTACAAAATAGACAGAAAACAGCTTGAGAGGAAAAAAAATCTAGCAGTAATGAACGAGAACAAGAAAGACCAAAAAAGATTGTGGGGAAGAAAAATAGAGATACATACAAAGATATACATGGCTGATATAAAACTTATATAAAAGAAACCGAAAAGAAAAGTGTTGTAACTTTAAGTTAAGTTTAACCAAGTATGGCGCAATGATGCAAGTGTCAAGTATCAAGAAAATTACTGTCTACGTAAAGGAAAAATATGCAAGATAAATTTTTATACAACACTAATCGTGGCAATTATTTCATAACATGAAATTACTACGGCTTAAATTAAAACATATGGAACAGCAAAATAACCGCAGGACCAAATACAAAATAGTTCGGGTGGGAAGTGAAGAATTATGGAAAATATTTGTCCGCCAAAGGACATTCAATCCGTCTTACGGTTGCTTTTACATACATCGTAATATATATATATATATATATATATATATATATATATATATATATATATATATATATATGTTATTTATATAGACACAAATATTTAAGTAAATGCTCTGTTTATAGTAAACAGTGATAACAGCATTTACCGACCTGAATATCCGAGAAATTAAATTTCATAGAAAATATACGTCCTCAGACAGGTATCAAATCTGTATCCTATACAGAACTGTCATATAGCCTGACGTGTTATACCAGTTTAGCTACGTTGGAGCGTCTGGTTAGCGAGGTCGATTTTACTGAAGTTATTGATCTTACTGCTTTAATGTATATATATATATATATATATATATATATATATATATATATATATATATATATATATATATATATGTGTGTGTGTGTGTGTGTGTATATATACCAATTACATTATTCGGACTATTGTCCTCATCTTTGTTACCATATTTATCACAAGGTTTCGGGCGTTGTACGCTCCGGCCTTCTTCAGTTGGTTGGAATATCGAACTGAACCCTTTATTTCGCTCGCTTGTGTAGACTGTTCTAGTTCCACGTCACATGTCTAATGTATGTCAGTTATCAGTCATTTCCTGTTAATTCACCTCTGCAAGTTCTAATCTGCCTTAACCAGGTATTGAACTCACAACTCTTTGGGTCCTGTCACTGGATCTAACCAACGTATTTATCTATCTTTAAGGACGCATGCCACAGTGGATAAAGGCCTTACTTAGTGACAACGGATAGCGTACAACGGCCAAAACTTTGTGATAAATATGGCAACAAAGAGGAGGACAATAGTCCGAATAATGTAAATAGTGTACATAATACCTCATCTCAGAAATATAGACATGTATTGTATATAAAACACTTTATCTCATAAATATAGCACACTTTAAAACTATATATATATATATATATATATATATATATGTGTGTGTGTGTGTGTGTGTGATTAAGGAAAAATTTATATGTGTCACTTAGATGGTTTCTTCAAATGTTATTTCAGTGCTTGAAACTGACGCCTAGATTTTTTTTTATTTTATATTATCCACTCAGCATAATTGGTGTGCTCTGTGAGACTTGAGCGAACACAAATATGACTGAGGCGGACTATACAACATTGATTAGTTGTTGCCCCGACCAACGGATGTGCACTGAAACTAGAGTGGTACACATCGTTTAAAAACCAGAAACTATTTAGGAAGAAGCTATCAACTAAAAAATTACATTTGAAACAATAAACATTTTGGTTGAAAATTATTCCATTAACTCTTTATACATGCAAATATTTATATATAGCGTGTAATTTGGCAGCAATAATTTACTCAAACATTTTAGTTGATAGCAAGTACAATAAAAATAATTTGTTTGATGGAGCGACATATGCGAAGAATGTCAGCTAAAAAGTGATTGGGAATCTAAAACGAAATATATGTTTGCCTTGTTTGGCGAATCGGATTTTAGATAGGCAATGTCTGGTCCAAATTAAAAAAAAAATAAAAAAGACGTCCAGTTGTTCTCTTTTGCCACGGGATTTTATTAATCCATGTATAAAATCAAATACATACATAAGAAATAAAAAATGTCTGGTAAATCTTTTGATTACGCCTGCGGAATTACGCATTATAGTTATTTTGTTATTTATTACACCAGCAAAACTCTTTCTGCTCAATTCTTCTCCTTAGTTATTAACTGACAGCAATAAATATGCACTTTATCATCATTATTATTATCATGATTATTATTATTATTATTATTATCATTATAGTTTGTGCATGTTTCCTGCTTTGTATTTTGTAGAGCCGTGTTTCAAATTATGGTCCTTAACACTTATATCACTTTTCTTGGGATGTTCCTAGTATGGCGATTTTCTGGGCAACTTGTATATTGACACTTTTAACAAAATTGTTCAATTCTTTTCTCACGGGATCCAGTGCTCCGATTCCTATTGGTACGACAGTTTCAGTCTTCATTCCCCACATGCTGTTAATTTCGATCTCCAGGTTCTTGTATTTGAACAATTAATCCATAGTTTTTATTATTACTCTTAATATTATTGTTCTTTGTATTTCTTTAAGGTTTTGCCTACGGGAAGTTTTTCCAATCAATGTGAGGGCCCCAACCACAAATGGAATAATTCATGTTCACATATACCACATTTTTGAGATTTCCATTTCAAGGTCTTTGTATTTTGACGGTTTAAGATATTCAAAGATTCATTACAATTTACAGGGATATCAATGCCAATAAGAAAGCACATTCTGTTAATATCGTCTTCGATCACAATCTCTGGGCGATTTTACTTTGATTTCTGTTGTATACTCATTTTCTTCCGTATCCAAAATGGCATGATAACATTTTCCATTGAACATATTTGTAAAAAGTAAAATGCCTAAGATCATACACATTTTCCTTCGTAAAGAGGTAGATGTACTTCTTAGCACAATACTTTGTATGTCTAAGATTTGGGCTGATAGGGGCCCCTTCTATGATCCTATTAGAATATTTTCCAATCAAACCGAGGGCTCGAACTACAACTATAATTATTATTATTAGGATCACGGAGGACTGGCTTACAGCAAGTCCCCTAAATTGCACAGCACATTTCAAAAGGTCTGCTCAAACAGAAGCCATACTTTTTATCCTGTCTCAGCACATTGTCGAAGTTCCAACTCCGCCAAGGTCAACTCTGCGCCTTCTACACCCACCAACGGGCAGGGTTTTAATATCTCAATATCGTTAACTTTACCCAGGCAAGTTCCTGGCATTTCTCAAATTTCCAACTGTTCTACATTTTCAATCGTATGCCCTTCAATACGCCAAATTTCACAATCTGTCGTTTTTCTTTTTTCTTATTCACGATTACCAAATTTGTCGTTTTTTCTTGCGCAGATGCGTTGATTTATCTGGTTAATCAACAGTTTCTCTTGCATTTTATCTTTCCTTTTTGTGCTGATAGCTTATTTTCTTTGAGGTCAAATACAAATCTTTGACAGTGTTCGTAAAGTATAATAATCCTAGTTGTTCTTTCTAGTGGACCACATATTTAGACGTAAAATGATAATGGCCGATGAAGACAGAGTGGCAACAATTCTTATTAAATCTCCGACAATTTTAACATTATCTTCGCATATCCCAGTAACGTTGTCTGGATATTTTCAAATTGCTTGTTTTTAATGCCAAAATCATTCTAGACACACTTTTATGTTTACTGCGTAGTTCTTGAGAAATTCTAATTTTTTTTTTAGTTTTCATTTATCGATATCATTTTGTCTTCCATCAGCGGTACGTTAACACAACTACATCCACGATTTGAGATGTTCCATAGAGTATTTACAATCAAACAAGTGGGGAAAATATTGCGAACAATCGGGTAACCTGTTTTTCAATGCAAAACTACAAGGATCTCAATGTCTATTCTCATTTATAATCTACAGAAGGAATGATAGGTGGGTAAAACGTAGAATCAATCAGTCAAAACCGTTTTTCTATATCTCGGATACATAATTTAAACGAATAGTTTGTTTTTTTTATCAATTTCACTTTTTTTTCTTAGTTTACAATTAACCACCTGCTTATCTATTCAAAGTTTTTTACAATCTTCTAACTCAATTGTCCGTCGAATTGGTAATTTGGTTGTTGTGTCGAATATTTGATTACAACCTCAGATTCCTTTTGTTTGTTTTTTCCTTCACTATATAAGAAGTATGTCTTTGAAACAACAAAGAGCAATAAAGCGTGGGAATGTAATAAATAACAAAGCGAGTCTCTCTGATTTCTATATTCGCATTTCCAGCATTAATTGTAATACTTACTTATCTGATTTCGCTTAAGATGCATTAAATTCTCATCCTTATATACGTCAAAATGTTTTCCTTTGAATTTAGACCTAGTTAGGAAAACGTTTTATCCTAAAAAAATGATAATGTATAGCCACTCATATACGAAGATAACCGTCTATTAAGGAAGCTAGCCAATCCCTATTGCAGACGCTTGCTCATGGACATTTGTATTTATTCAACATCCACAGAGACAACCTGTGGCTTTTACTGCAACCTTGCTGAACAGACTTTAGTTGCAGTTTCTGAGAAAGAACGTTTTATCTACCGTGATATAAACTTTTAACAAGACCAGCACGCTCAGGCCCTCAGCCACGATGGCTTGTAACTTCATGCTAGCACAGCTATTGACGGCACCCAAGGGTTTCATCTATCTAATTTCACTCACAAGGCTTGGGTCAATCTGTGGTATGGTTTTCCATCGACTATGATGAGACTCGAACCCGTGTCTCACGTTCAGAATGCGATCGTTCTAACCACTCGGCCAAGTTATATTACATTATAATGATAATAATGACGAAACAAGAAATGGTTTTCCGATAATATAATATAATATTGTATCTGAATTAGTCCAGATCCTAGTAATATAAGTATTTGGATAATATGGAAAATATATAGCCACAATAATTATTGATTCAACCAATTTGGAATAAAATTAATTGTGTTGGTATGTTTACCAATTCGCGTTTGAAAAGTTTGCAAACAGCTGTTTTTGGGACATTACATATAGTTGGACGAGCTTTTATTGATGAAAAATTCATAGGCAAATTTAACGTCACATGAAACCTTTGAAATGGATTAAAGAATCCTTACAATTATGAAGAAATTAATATGAGAATCTTGGAGATATTCAGTTTATCTGAATCAACTTAATAACACCTCCAGCATTTGTGGCTCCTCCAAAGTAGATAAATAGATATGATTAAAAAATGCTTCAATCTTGCAGCTATATGTTTTAATTTATACACATAAAATGATTACGACATAATCTGTATAGTTTTACCCGCCTATCCCTCCAATTCTTGAAATGCTTACGAATAACAAACATTTTTATTCTTTTATATTTCACATGTTTTGCACATACCGCATCTTCGTAAATGTAACCGATAGAAATAATTAGAATGATTTTTTTTTTTTTTATCAAGGCATATTCTGCATCTCTTACGAGAAGATAGGGAGACAATTCATAGAATTTATATTTGTGCTTCTTGATCCAATTAACCGTATTTTTCCCGAAGGAGAATTCTGCTTTTGGTTGAAAGTTTCTAGATAATCCAATTCCTCTGAAGTTGTACTTCGAAAATTATACCCCATAAACGAAAAAAAAAAAAAAAAAAAAAAAGAAAGAAGCTAGGCGCTCTTTGCTAAATCCATTCAACAATATCAATAATCCCTGACAGACTGATCTTTTATTTACAGTTAGTCCAATATCCTGGTCATTGTTGATATAATCACAACGAATCGACGCTGTAGTCGTTTACGCCTCTGCTCTATAACTACAAGATTACAAGATTAAAGGTTTTGTCTGTGAATCAAAGAGCATGGTTAATTGTGCGTTAAATTACTCCAGACCTCATGTCGAACAGAAATATACAATATTTTATTAAAATTGCTAGAAAAATGGTGGGTTTCTTGTACTGCGTCGGTAAAGATCTGACTAATACTGCTATAGTTTAAACAATCTAGATCAGACTGATAATGAAGTACTGCTTCTATATGTGGATGGAGCTCTCCATTTCTCATTTCTCTATTTGATAGAGTTCAAAATGTTTTCGTGGCCTTTTGCGTAATAAATTATTTTTAATTACATACCTCCTTACTCACAGACAGAAATTCACAAATATATCGCTAATCTGTTTATATTTTCATGGCAAATGTTTTGACTAGCCACATTCTTTAAGACAAGCAGTTCTCACGTTCACATTTAACACGTCGCCTTTGCACGCAAACTGGGATTAATTACCCCAATTCCTTTAGGAAGAAGGGAGCTCTATTCGAACAGAATCTTTCCAAGAAAGGATACTTTGTGGAACTGACTCTTGACAAGATAGATTCCCGATCATTACAATCTCAACATGTTCAATTCCATAGTTAACCGTTATCTCAACTATATAGCCTCATAAGTAGAAATTTTATTTACCTTATTTAAACTCGGACAAATATATTAATTTTTGTAGTTATTACAAATTTTGCTGGACAATGTGAATTGATTGTTCGCAATTGAAGAAGAAAAAGAATTAGCTGACCATCGTTGATGTACAGTTAACACGCACAGAGAATGTCCTGAAGATCCGTATATGAAAACCAACCTTCAAGGAACACTACTTTAACTTCCTTTCCCACCATCCATACTGTATACAGAAGGGGACATTCCGACGCCTACAATAACGTACAAAAATTTATGTGACGACACAAACAGCTGCCAACAGGAGATAATCATCCTCAAATGTAAAATTCGGAATAGTCTTTTAATGCACACGTCACATCAACTTAAGCAAGCAGAAAGAGAAGTATCGAAAGAAACGTTCGAAAAACTGCCCATACTTATGTTGAAGCTCACAATTAATAGAAATTTTGGGTTTAGTATTGGTTAACTTCCAAAAGTTGGACAATCAGACATTCCAAATTTAAACCTATATACTAAAAACATTTGACTTTTTTAAATACTTCAATCTATTTGTCATAACTTTCAACAATGATCGGATATGCTGATCATCGAAACAAAGAAAATTGGGAAAATAAGCAAGATTATTTTCATTATGAATTAAAAAGCGTACTTAATAACATTAAGAAGAGTATGGCCAGTGGTATGAAAACAATGAAAGTTCACTATAATATACTTGTTATATCTTTAGCATAAATATGTCTGTTGCGACAGACTGGCCATGCTAGTCTATAATACTTTCATAATTTGTGAATAGTTTTGTCAAGTACATTTTATTGTTTTATATGACACCCTTTTTAAATGCATTACTAAATATATCGATCTTATAAAGAAAATGTGTTGTTACTGTTCAGTTGAGGAACATCTACGAAAGTAATTCTATATTCAAATATATATACAAGAAAAGCAGACATTATTTCAACAGGATAAATTTCAAGGCATGTCAACCTTTAATGAGATGTTGGATGAATTTACCTTAACTTATGGCGAAATTATCTACTACGAATAAGTATCCCCTCATACAGGCTTGTAACATTCAACACATTAAAAACGAAACTAGTAACATCCCGCCATAACCGGAGATATAATGAATTTTCACCTACTGGTATGAAATACTGTTCTCTCAAGGGGTATCCTTACATTGAAGGCATAGTGGAACTAAATTTCACCCCATACGTCAAATGGTACTCGTACAGTGTTGTGGTCTTGTTAGAGCCAGAAATAAGACACAATGAGAGGAATTGAGATAACGAATATACTAAAAGAAACAGTAATACAAACATACAAAAACGAGAGTGTTACAGCAAGAATGTTCGGTCCGACTGTCAGAGCTGACTGCTGGAAACTACCCTCTCCAAAAGGCAGTACCTGCTCCTATTTATACCCATGCGTGTGTGGGTAAATTACCATATCATACATAATCTCCCATCATTGAAGTTCCTGACATAATGTTATTTTTTTTTGTACAGCTCCAGTAAGTATCTAATTTCTGCTAGGCATACATTTACAAGTGCCAAATCGCACCAAAAATGGAGCATTGGTGCCATGTCTTTGCGAGAGCTGGTCATTCTTCCCTTCAAATCTTCATAGAGTTCAAAAGCGACTATGTCTCGTAGAACATGAGGAATTGTTTCCACCTTACATTCTCTTTCTCACAGACGAAACATAGCGCGTCTTTCCTTACTCTGTCGCTATTTCCATAGCAAAGGGTCTGATGAAATACGTTACATAGTCCCACCTGTTCTCTCTTTCAGGGCTAAGACTATGCCAACTGCACCCAGACGAACCATTCCAAATTAACTTCGTATTACAAGAGTAAGAAAGATCTTTCACTCGGAGAAATTCCTCAGATGAACCGGTACTTTTTGGAACACACTCTCGAATGGATGATTTCCTGATCATTACAATCCTAACCACTTCAAGTCTAGGATTGACCATTATCTTTCCAAGATGGCATCGTAAACTGCACTTCTTTCTTCCTGTTCATCGTCTTACCGTTCATACAACCTTGTTCAGTAACTCACAACCATAAGTCGCTAATGGGTCGTGTACTTGGCAAATTCTTAAATAAAAACTTCATAATACTATTACTATTTCCGCGGCAAATATTTAAACGAGCTCCATTCTGTCGTGCCAACACCTCAATACTTTGCAACTTAGATAACCTAGCTACGACCGTAAGATTGGTCACTATATATTTCTTTAATAAGAAAAGTGTTTCATTGCAAAAGATTGTTTTCCAGGGACGCTATTTTGAGGAATAGATTATCGTGTTGATGCATCACCGAGCACTACAATATTATCCTATGTTGTTGTTGGTGTTATTATTTTTATTTTCTTTGATTTCGGGCGTTTACATATTTCTTTCCGGGTCCCTCCCAGGGACCTACGGTTAGAAATGGCATCATGACACTTTCCACTGACAAAGAAAAATAAAAAAAAAAATAAAATAAAATAAAAAGAAATTATATAGATAAAGCCTTTCGTAAAGTGTGGGCTGTACTTGTCAGAACATTTTTTTGTATCTCCTTGAGGCATGGACTTCCAGGAATCCCTTCAATTAGTCTACTGCAATCTTTTTCAACCAGTCCTAGGGCTCCAACTACAACAGGGATTGTTGATGTTCCCATATGCCACATTTTCGAGATTTCTATTTCAAGGTCCTTGTATTTTGACAGCTTTTTGAATATCTTCAAAGATACATTGCAGTCAGCAGGGACTGCCATATCAACAAGGAGGCACCGTTTTTGTTTGTGGTCTTTAATAACAATTATTATTATTATTATTATTATTATTATTATTATTATTATTATTATTATTATTCTATGGTCAATAGATATCTATCGCCCAATATATTCGTAATTTTCATTTGCTACTTGTTAATCTTACATTCGTATCGCACGTCTTATTTAGTAACTATCTAAATGACTCTTGGGCCCTTTTATTGGCTGAACCATAGTTTTAAAAAGTACTTAAATGGAAATGACTAAAAAAAAAACTCTATAAATCTATTTCAAATATATATTTGTATTAATGAAAATAAATGCCGCATAGGCGTTTGTTCCATGTTATTGGAACGTAATTCATATCTGATTATATAAGCATTTTTTTTTTCACTAAACAAGTTTTAAGTTATTTCCGGATACTTAGAAATGTATTTATACATACGTTCCTTCGGTAAGAGTTTGTAAATTCGCACCACGTCAGGGCAATCGATCGAAAACAATAAAGGTCAGAGGTTGGAGCCAGACGGACTATTATACCCGAGTTATCAGACAGCTTCCCAAACAACTTATTATATTAGAGAGAATGCCAAAGGCTGTATTTCATAACAAAACACCGCTTGATCAATGGTGACATGCGAGCGAAATATTCTGGGGATTGCTTTCGGAAGGCGGTTAACGCAGTCCAAACATTGTGCAAGCCGTTTGATTAGGAAGAGAAACGACCAATATTTGCTAAAATTGGGATTTGATTGAGACGAGTCATAAGAGTTGTAATGAGACGTAGATCAAATGACTCACCTGGCAGCTATTCATAAGAAGATAAACAATTATATTCACTGACGTCCATTTATATCAAGCGTTGGCCTTATTATTGCCGTGTTGAAATGATGTGACAGAAGCATTTGGATTGCAATTCATCCTCTTTCGGTAGAGATGAATCTATTGCCCGTTTATTATTTCTCAGCTAAATAATCTTCCCATTTTCTCCATTGAAATAAATCTTGGGGCAATGATTTATGTCGGAGACTTATTCAGTCAAAGTTCCCTTCTATAAATCATTACGTTTTACTCTCTATCTCTCTCTCTCTCTCTCTCATTGAATTTTCATTTTATTTCTAAATTTCTAAGTCGTTGCTTTGTAACATTTGAATAACATTCTGTACATGTTAAACAGTATTTTCCATTTTTTTTTAATAACCTCTAATTTTTCTTTTTGCCAGACAATACCAAGTTTACTACAAATCTGCTTCCAAAAGACAAGCGGCATATTAAGAAACAGAGATTTCGTTAGAAACAAACAAAAGAGAAGTTCTCCTATATGGCAGCGAAAATTGGACAATCTCCTCAAAGATAAAATAGGGAATTGAAGTAAAAGAAATGTGGTTCTACAGAAGGATGCCGAGAATATTATGGATCGAAAGTGTGAGCAACTACGAAGTTCCAGAGAAAATGGAAACACTTTATGACATATATTAACATCAGAAAGCGACAGTTGAAATTTCAAAAGGGCAGTTAATGAGAAAGGTGGGCTAAGAAAATATTATACTTACAGGACAGTATCTAGTAAATAGATAGCCGAAAAATAATGAGCAACAAATTGTGAAAATTGTGGATAGTTATACTAAAAAAAGTTCTGAAGGGACAGGACAGAAAAGAAGAATATCTATCTATCTATCTATCTATCTATCTATCTATCTATCTTTCATTTTCATTATCTATCTATCTATCTATCGATATATATATATATATATATATATATATATATATATATATATATATATGTATATCAGTCGGTTCGTTATCTGTCTATCTTTCTATCTATCTATCTCTATTTATCTATCTCAGTCGAATCGTTATCTATCTATCTATCTATCTATCTATCTATCTATCTATCTATCTATCTCTCTCTCTCTATATATATATATACACATATATATACATATATATATATATATATATCTGTCTGTCTATCTATGTATCTCTTTCTATTCATATATATCTAACTCTATTCATATCTATCTATCTATGTATCTATGGATCTATCTCAGCTTGGTTCATTCTCTATCTATCTATCTATCTATCTATCTATCTATCTATCTATCTATCTATCTACCTACCTACCCATATATCTCAGTCAGTTCATTATCTATCTATCTATGTATCTATCTCATCTTGGTTCATTATCTATCTATCTATCTATCTATCTATCTTTCTTTCTTTCTCTCTCTCTCTCTCTCTCTGTATATATATATATATATATATATATATATATATATATATATATATATGTATATATATATAAAATGTATGACCTTTATATTACTCTTTTTTATTATTTGGATTATATTTGTTCCTATGCATACAATGTCAGAATATTTAATTTTCATATTTGGTCATCCATGCTCCACTATTAGACGTAAGCAGAATTTCATCACATATAAAAAAAGAGAAGCTAACGACAAAGTGATAACTTATTGAAACTTTGCAAAACAGCTGAAATACGTATTTATTTTACATTGCATGACTTGTTCTTTTACTTTTTTTATTATGACTAACATGTTCTTTTACTGCCTAGATTCTACTGCGTAGTTTTGTGAGTTATTTAAAGTTAAGCATATTTTGGAATGTCAGTATATATTTGTGTTACAAATGAATATATTATGAAACATGTTTGGAGAATAACAATAACTTTTCCAGAACAAGTTTACTAGTTAACCCATAGATTAGGGGACGTGAGTTCGTACATTTTCAAATGTAAAAAGCAAATCGAAATTGACTCTCTGATCGCTTATTCTGAGCTGCTTACCTTTCCACAAGACTCACTTCCACAGAAGTCGAGGAAAAAGAAACCTCTGATTTCAAAGCCGTAAGGGAAAAACAAATTTAAAAATTACCATCTTTGTCATGAACTCTTTGCAATTCACAGATTTATTATCAGTAAATTGCAAACACTGTAGTATAAAGATCATGTTATATATTTAATCTTTCATTCGATTATCCCTTTAAAGAGGTTTAGGTGTCTCTTTTTTTTATTTTATCGTTTCTTTTCAAATTCAAATTGATGAAGCTTACATAACCTTTCAAAACAATCCACGGTATTGACGACCTATACTAGGGAAAACTAACAAATTCATTTGCATGCAAATCGTGCGTTTTAATATCGAATCTAGATTGTCTCCTGCCAGGATATGTGCAACGTATTTGATAATAACCACCACCACCATTGGCTGAAAATTAATTAAATACTTAATAGCATTTAGAAATTTGCATACAGACAGATTCCGTAATATTACTGTAAACATGCATTCGAGTTCACTTGTATTTCAACACATGTTAGAAACACATGAATGTTAATGCTTATTTGAAAGTTAGTCAAAATCTCCATCTTAAATACAGGGTGATTGAAAAGTAACTCCCTATTTTATGTACGAGAGGCCAACCAAGAATGCTGATTAATACACTGTGACATTCTCTTTGAGATTGGTAAAAGGAGCTAGTGTATTATAACAAACCACGATGTATAAGAACTTGAAGAGGGAATAAAAGAGTTGTCTCCCCTAACGCAAGAGTTCCTGGTGAAATCATTTGTCGTGATTCATGGGTAGCTCCAGAAATTTTAAGTGAAATCTAGTGCCCATATCGATTTTTATATTAAACCCTATCAAAATCATTTCTTGTAAAAATTGTAGTTAATGAATAGATTATAATTATTTTAAAATGAAGAGTTGACTTTCAATCACCCTTTATATGTTGAATGGTACTTTCCTAACGTTAATTATCCTCTTATTTGTCATTGTGCCAGACTATGCCTAGATTACTACAGATCTACTTTTATGATCTCCCTAGGATTAGCTAACAGCACATTGATCATTATAGCGTGCTGCTGATAACTCAAGTTGAACTGGGACTGACAAAGATGAATTGCAAAAAGTAAGGAGAGTATTAAGAAATAGAGAAAAAACTTTGCTAGAAAGAAGGAAAAGAAAAATAAACTATTATTTGAGATATGTCTGCCTTTAAGTGCGGGACAAACTCTTCAAAGAGCAAAAGGAAACAGAGCAAAAGAAATGCCGTTCTATCGAAGGATACAAAGAACCGATTATGTGAGCAACAAAGTTTTAGAGAAAATAGGCCGCGGTGCGATTTTTGCTTCCAGCACGAGTTTGTCGTTGCTTTGAAATCGTCAACGCAAACAAAACAGGCTATAAATTTTGCTATGTCCGTGTATTTTTTCATTTATTGTGATGTAATTGTCATCGTTGATGATGGCTTATGCAAGCTGAAAATTTAGATAGGATAAATAAAAAACATATATCTATATGGTGATTTTTTTCTTCTTTCAGTGATAATGTTATTAAGCTTATCAGACGATATGCAAAGAATTTGCTAAAAATAAATAGACAAAACGTGCCTATATTATTTAATGAAACATGCATCAATAAAAAATGCTGCTAAATACATACACAACAAACATATATATATATATATATATATATATATATATATATATATATATATATATATATATATATATATATATATATATATATATATATATATATATATATATATATATATATATATATATATATATATATATATATATATATATATATATATATATATATATATATATATATATATATATATATATATATATATTATATATATATATTATATATATATATATATATATATATATATATATATATATATATATATATATATATATATATATATATATATATATATATATATATATATATATATATATATATATATATATATATATATATATATATATATATATATATATATATATATATATATATATATATATATATATATATATATATATATATACATATATATATGTGTGTGTGTGTTTAATTATTGTGAGATCATATGGGATAGATAGATAGATAGATAGAAAGAGATAAAAAGAGTGAGAGTAACAGAATTATAGACCCAGGTAAGGAGCGAAAAACGATATTCGCGTTGCGGATGAATAAAACGATCGTATTGCATAAAACCGAATAACACTCATTATGAATATATGTATGTATGTCTCGAAACCCTTTATGATAGATCATGATTAAGCAAATAAATTTCCATTCAGTGTTCCCATTCCTAAAGAAAACAAATATGTTCAATCTCAACGCACTCGAAATGTTTACATTTACCCCATTTTACTCCCTGTGCAAATATAATGGTGGATTTTGTATTATTTTCCCGGAAATAAATAAATGACGCAATAGATTCCTACACAAATTATTTGCCGTGCTATTTGGATGCAAAATCCGACAATAAATCAAAGAGGAAATTTGCACGATCTTCAGTGCATTTCACTAGAGGGAAACTAATTCTAATATTAAAGCATTCTACATGTTTCAATCAGAGAAGATATTTATTCCAATAGCGAAAACATAACGTACAAATATTTACGGAAATTACGTAAATGATGGTGACTGGAAGTGACAGAGCTAAGCATCGATTGAAGTTATAAATTACACACACACACATTTTCACACACACAAACACACACATATATATATATATTCGCTCACACACACACACATATATATATATATATATATATATATATATATATATATATATATATATATATATATACATACACATTGATGATCACCAATTCATCACCAACATTGAGCTTGTAAGTACCTAAATGATTACTTCTTTGGAAATCGATATGTTGTAATCTTAGATGTGCGTGTAGTGTAAAGTATAAGGGTTTCGTAATTTTTCTTATCAGGAAACCGTGTTCCAAATGCAATCGAGTTATTTTTATTCATTCACTTCTACTCTTGGAAAAAGTATGAATCCTCATATTCACCCCCCTTATGGGTTAATTAGTAAGTCTTTTATAACGAAACCAATATAAACCGCTTAAAATATTCTATAATTTGCATATATATATATATATATATATATATATATATATATATATATATATACACAAATGTAAAAGAACGAATAGTAAGATTTCAGCGTTCAAAACAATTTAAAATTTAAAACCGGGCTCAATACAAAAGTAGAGCAATAAATGGTTGTTTATTATGCAGTTTTGAACTAGAACATCCATATGAACACTTAGAAACTATACATCGTTTTTCAACGTTAACAAATTTCTTTTAACGTTTCATCAGGTGGGAGATCACGATGCTACTAAAATATTTTATTCCGAAATATAGTTAACGAACCATACACGTAAGTGGAAGTTATGCTCCATTAATATGCCATAAGCATACATACGTACACACACACATATATATATATATATATATATATATATATATATATATATATAAATTCATGAATCATTCATACAAAAAACAAATATAGAGGTTAATGATTTAACTGGCGAGAATACATAGCATTTTTTCGGATTGCATCTCTATTTTAGTTGTCCTCTTATTACTGAGAAGTAAAAACAAGAACAAAATCTACTTCCATACCTGATGATGTCTGTAGGAACAGACGAAAGCTTGTAAAAATTAAAAAGACCTTATGCAACTGGAATTTATAAACAGAGATCATATCATTCATATACATGTGTTTGCGACGATGTATTCTCGCCATTTAAATCATTAACCTGTATATTTGTTTTTTGTATGAATGATTCATGAATTTATAAATTATATTTGCACCTTTTAATTGAAAATATATATATATATATATATATATATATATATATATATATATGTGTGTGTGTGTGTGTGTGTGTGTGTGTGTGTATATTACAGTTTACTTGCTTTGTCATCAATATATTCTATGAGTATCATATTCTAAAGACCCTCGTTCCACATTATTTTCTAGAAATTTCAAGTTATTCTAAGTATTAGCATCTATTTTCCCGTTTTATTTTAAACTTCCTGGTTATTCAACTGCTCAGTACAATGCATTCTGATCATTTCTGCGCAGAACATTTCGCTTGCGTCAACTCTCTTCATCAATAAGATTATTCCACATTCACTATCAAAAAGTATGATATATATATATATATATATATATATATATATATATATATATATATATATATATATATATATATATATCAAAAAGTATGATATATATATATATATATATATCAGTGGACATTGAAGTGGACCACCCAGCGGCAAAAGGCAATTTCATGCTTATAGGCTATATCAGGCCATGAGTAATCTTTATTAGCATGAGCAGAATATAGCATCTCGATGTTGAGAAAAATTTCTTCTTTTATATTTACATACATTTTATACCTGATATCAAGTACTTTTAACGCATAAATATAGCATATCTTAAATATATTTTATCATATATATATATATATATATATATATATATATATATATATATATATATATATATATATATATATTTTATATATATATGGGAGGCACGGTGGATTTGTCCACTAATCACTCAAAATTTGCTTTAGTTTTATTCTTTCATGAACGACAGTTAATGTAGGACATAAGGAAGTGTTGTAATAACCCACAAAATATAACGACTTCCAAGTATTAGATGCTACTCTAAATATTGGCAGATTAATTCACATCTACGTTATATGATTTCAATTTTTTTTCAACGTTTTAGTCTTACAGTTTTCAAACACATAGCGTATTTTTAGCAATAAAGATCCATTAGCGTACGTTCAGTGTTAAGAATTTATACTATTTGTAATTTACTCTCACAAAAATTAAGTATAAATGAGCGCTTAAGTTATCGGCGATGAATACATTTTGGTGGAAACAGTACAAACAACTAAAAAGGAACTAATGTTTTTCGTAGATTATTAGATTTAGTGCTAAAATGCAGTTATTGCAAGAAAGGTATATATTGAAAAAATGTTTTTATTAGTTGAGGTGAATTTCATATATTTTAATTTTGAAGTTCATTTTATATATTTTAGTTTGCATGGGATTTTTTATATTTTCTTTTGCAAGTGAGTTTTATATATTTTCATTTTTAGCTGACGTTTTTTATATTGTCATTTACAGGGGAATTTTTGAAATACTTTCGGGTAGTATATTCAAATAATGATAAAAAAAACAGCTTAAATATGCTTGTAAAACTCTTTTTTGTGAGAGCGCAACATTTCTTTTTGGTATTTGAATGTATTCTTGAATCCTACACATTCTAATATTAATTTCAAACTTAGGAGAAGAGATATTGTATGAAGAAGCTAAAATATAACTGGAACAGAAAATAATGAATCATGACATTTAGAAACAGCATGTTAAACAGCTGGACATGTCTGGAGATACATTTTCAGATACAATGTCTGGTATTGCATAAACTATCGGTAATTTATGGAAGACACCAACGGGGATTTTCTTCTTTACAGAGAAATTACACAATGATTGTTGGAATGGACAGAATTTCCTTTGCCTCTTATTTAAAAAATATTTCATGAAAATGCATATAGAAAAAATAAAATATTTTGTAAAACTGCATATTGCGCCTAATTGCAGCCTAAAAGTAGAAATCACGCTATGCCTACTCTGCGTTAACAAAATGCGACAATAAGAAAAGAGAAATAAAATGTTCTTGATTTTGGTTTGTATGGTCCAAACAAACCATAGGGACGATTTTTTTTTCTGTAAAATAAAAGTATACAACAGAAATAATGAAAAAGAAATCTCTCATGCAAATTTATCTCACCTGTGAAACCTCTATTACATGGATCAATGGTAGGATTCTCTTAACCAATTGTAAATCTTGATTTCTTGAAATTAACTCAGCGTAGTAAAAACTTAACATACAAAGATGAAGAGTCTGAGAATGGAATAAAATGAGAAAACATAAAGAAGGGAAATGTAATAAAAACAGCATTTGATGAATCGTAAGGTGACAACAGCCATTGCACTAACATTTTCAAAGATCGTAGTTGAGAGGAATGCAAAAGGATATCTATTATAATATAGTAATTTCATGTGCTCCAGCTGAGCTTCTATTATATAACATTCACAAGGAATTATGCGCGTTTCATAAACAACTGATTTCAAATGGACCCACATAAGAAAAATCCAAGGCTTTGAGGTCTGGTGACCTCGTTGGCCACTCAACAGGACCTCTTTAGCCTATCCATTAACCCCTATGTGGCACCACTTTTGGCTTTTGACTAAGCTTACGACACAATACAGATAGAATTGCGGTACGAGATGTATCGCAAAAGAATATGGTTTGACCTAAAGGTTTTTGGAAAAAAAAAATTTTACAAAACCAAATCTATGTTAAGCATGATTCGATTCTGGAAATGTAGGACACAGGATTTTGCATTGTAAAATTAAAGAAATGAATAAAAATAAAAATTTGGGGGCCACAGGCTGTTGCATGCAACAGCGTGTCGCCTCTGAGTGTTTGTTTCACTTTTCACTTTATATATATATATATATATATATATATATATATATATATATATATATTTCATGCTTATAAGCAATCTTCAGGACGAGAATTTTTATTAGCATGAGCAGAATGCCACATCACGGTGTTGACTTCAAGTTCCTTTTTTAAATTTACTTACATTTTATACTTGGCATCAAGCACTTTAACGCATAAATACAGCCTTCCTTAAAATATTTTATCATATATATATATATATATATATATATATATATATATATATATATATATATATATATATATATATATGCGTTTGTCTGTCTTTGTGATTAGTTTGGAAGTATTTTTTCTATTTTCATCCCTGCTCAAAGATTAAAACATTATATTTCTAGCTGGTCAAAAAATACATTTTTTCCAAATAATCAAAATTGAAATCTACAAAGAAAACTGTAAGAGAGGAATTTATTTTTATCCCTGGTAAGTTATCGGGTAAAAATAAATGATCTGATAGATTCTATATTTTGTTGTCTCCAGTCTCTAGTCTCCAGTCGATATTTTTTGCGAGAGAGAAATTCTCTTTCTTCGGAAACGATGAGATGTCAAAATTGTCTGATGCGCCATAATTAATTATATCTAAAGTACATACACTTATTTAAAAGCTATTGATCAATGGCAACACGATTAATAATGAAATGTTATTTATTTTGAATTGATGAAGCTTTATGGAAATTATGTCTTGTTTAATGGACATATACGCTATAGTATTTTTAAATAATTACAATTAACAATGACTTGAAAATTATTTGAGAAACGCAATATATTTGGGACAAAACCGCGTTACAAGAAAATTGTAGGTTAAAATTTATAGGTGGAAATTGTAGGTTGAATATTCTTGCTTTAAACAATACATTTTGCAATTGAAGCCGAAATAGAAATTAATGATACTTGCATAATGTTTTCAACGATAAAACCAAGTTGTTCTGAACATCTTAAATGCATATACATGATGATGTCTCTTTAACAAGTATTATATCCTGCAGTGAATTATTAATTGTCAAATTCCAAATCTAGTATACCAATGATTAACAACATTTATACTACATTATTTACCTTATTCGCACTATTGTCCTCATTTTGTCGCCATATTTATTACAACGTTTCGGCCGATGTACGCTCCGGACTTCTTCAGGAGGTTAGAATGCCGAACTGAACCCTTCATTTCACTTACTGGGGTAGACTGTTCTAGTTCCACGTACCATGTTTTTAATGGATGTCAGTTATAAGCTATCTCCTGTTATTTCCCTCTGAAAGTTATCCACTGCCTTAGCCGGATATTGAACTCACACACTTTTGGTCCAAAATAATTGTAATAAATATGGTGACAAAGATGAGGACAATAGACCGAATAATGTAAATAATGTACCTAATACGTCGTCTAAGAAATATAGACAGACATTTATACATTTAATGTTACAGTATTACAGCCACATAATTTATCTGGAATGATCAGGATTTAAAGTAAAAATTTTTAAAAATATCTTGTTATAAGCTTCGTTATCCGTCAAAGATGATTCGCTCTCTATCTCATAAATGGATGTACTAGCATAATATCAAAAGAAGTATATCAACTGGTGATATCTTTTTAGTATTTTTAATCTATCTATCTATCTATCTATCTATCTATCTATCTATCTATGTTTCTCATGTTGTCTGTCTGTGTGTCTGTCGTGAGCGTTGTTACCGCCCCCAGGCCGCATTTCTCACCCGATTTCGATGCGGTTTTCACCATAAGTGTGCAAATGGCTGCCGTAAGGATATGACAGAGCCCGATTTTTGAGTTCGGACTCAGGTTCCGAAAAAATCGATAATCAAAAAATAGATAAACCAAAAAAATCGATAATCGAAAAAATCGATAATCGAAAAAATCTGCTTACAGAAGGAATGATCGCATTACAAGCAAATTTGACACCATCTTAGAGTCTACCATTAGAAGTGTTGTCCAGAAGTTTCATGACCACGGGCCTCTAAACAGCGCGGAAAATCGATAAAATCCAAAAACCGATACGCTCAGATTGCACCTGAACCGCATGTTGGTTTTTAGCTAAAACTGACCGGATTTATGACGAGGCCATTAGGAGTCACCATGTGAAGGAGCCATTTGAAGGGTTTGAAGGTCCAAGGACAAATGCTGTCTGTCATTGGTGTACACTTAGAGGAGCAGTGCTTCTCAGACGGCCAACTTTACGTAGTTTGCCTCTTGAGTCGGCAGGCGCGAGGATGTGTTCCTTTATTCACCCTCGCAAAAAGCTGAAAATGTGGTCTACACTGAAGTCCTCAGCCAGTGATACGCAAACTCCATTCCATTTTTCCTTTTCATGCAAGAAAATTGCTGTATAAGTCGTAAGATTTTTGAATCAAGCACGGGCAACGCTGGGCCATGCTGCTAGTATATAAATATATATATATATATATATATATATATATATATATATATATATATATATATATATATATCATTTTAAAAATCACAAAGAACGATATATTATTTATATATTTATCAGTCAAACGCATAACGTTGAGAGTAATAGACAGGAGGTCAGAAGAAGAAGAAGATGAAGAAGAAGAAGAAGGATGAAGAAAAAAGAAGAGGAAAGCAAGTGTATCGTAAATGTATAAAAAAAGAAGTTGAAAGGAAAATCAAGTGTAATGTAAATTTAAGGAAGGTGTCGTGTAAATATAGGGAAGGATGGGGGGCAAGCAAAAGTATTTTAAAAATAACAGTGGGGTTTTAACTTTTTAAAAACTTATGGGAATATTAAGCCGGTTAAAAAAAATTTTCAAAACCACATTGTTACTCTTTAGACACGCTAGCCTACCCACCCTCCATAGCAATTAAGTTACAGATTTGCTTTCCCTCTTTACTGTACACATCTAAAATATGCTTGCTTTCCCCATTCCGTACCTTTCCATTTTCTCTTATTGTTTTTTTATTCGTCTTTCTTTTCCTCTTCCTTTTCATTACACTCAATGTTCTGTCTTTCAATCATCATTAGCCTGTTATTTTTTTTTGAAAGATAATTGTGTAGCGTTCAGTATATTTTTTTTTAAAATAAAGACGTAATTTTAAAAGTACCGCCCATCAGTTCGAAAATATGGCCGCGTATTTTAACTGACCTACAGATTTTTTTAATCTTAAAACTTTACAAGTAATTTTTACTTTTATTATATTTTTTTTCCTCACGTGTATTGAACACTTTTTGTTACTACTGTCTCCTGGTCTCATTCAACTCTGACCATTAACATATATATATATATATATATATATATTGGTGGATAGAATATCACGGAAACATATACACAGTGGCAAATGCATTTATTTTAAGATGAGTAACAACGTTAATGCCTTCTCGCCTGCCGAGCAATGCAAAAAAATGCCTTTTTATACTTTCTACCCGATAGAAATAGCTGTTTGAGCGAAAATGTAATGTTGTCATATTATTTTTTTTTTCAGAATAGTGATATTTGTTTGGGGATTCGTTTACTGAGAACGATTTTTGAGCAATCATTGAGATCGATTGAATTTTTCGACATGTTCAATAGGAAGAGAAATTGCTGACATTAAAAAAATCTGGGGCACTTATCAATTAGGTGCGTTGCAATCGTTGCGCTGAATAAAATATTGAAATCTAAACAAGCACTTGGCAATCACATACACATGAATAAATTAAGATTCGTTCAAATAAATGCAAACCCATGCACACAGACATATGCATAGACACAGAATAACACATATTTATGCAAAACACGATACAATCAACCATGCAAATCACAAAAACTGTACATTGTGGAATAATGACCGAATAATATTGCATACGTTCATAGGCACTTTAAATTTAAGCAAATATCTGCGTGTGATTTCTTGCGAGTGGACTTTCTTATGGCAATTATGAAGAAATTTTACCTTGAAATATTTCACCGATGATACGTGCTTGTCAGAAAAATAATTCCAATCTCAACATTATTAACAGACACACAAACTCACACATCTATATCTATCTATCTATCTATCTATCTATCTATCTATCTATCTATATATATATATATATATATATATATGTATATCACAAACTCACACACACACATATATATATATATATATATTTCAATTATAGGGGAAATTTTAATTTATAATTACATGAATCATTCATACAAAAATTTAAATGGCGAGAATACATATTGTTTGCGAAGACATATTCTTCCATTTAAATCATTAACCTCTATATTTGTTTTTTTTTTTGTATGAATGAATGAAATATATATATATATATATATATATATATATATATATATATATATATATATATATATATATATATATATATGCTCCTGAAAATTTATTTTGGTTGAGCTCTGGAGGCGGAAATGTGGGTTTGTAAACAGTGACTATTACGGCTAATATAGCAAGACTATTCGGTAAAGCGAACTGAGACCTCTCAGTCACTGTGTGTTTATCTAAAAAATGAATACGCTTAAATTCGCTTTCATCTCTGCCGTGCGCCGACAGGTTAGTGTGAGTATCTGCTTTTCATCCGGGTTTCGATCCTAAGTAAAGTCAAACGGACGTCTAACCACACTGATAAGCAGTGATACATCGAAACATTCTGTCTGTTGTTGCTAATATATATATATATATATATATATATATATATATATATATATAAACATATGTCTATTGTATATGGCGATTTCGTAATGGCATGGTTTGAATAACCGACCTGCACTGGGGTGTGCAATCTAGGCTTGACAATGCATATGAAAAGGCACATTGAAATTGATCAATGTCAACTTCCACCAGCCGGAGATGAGCCACTGTTGTTCACACAACCTATGGATTCAATGTTTTGGGGGAAGGAGTTCAATTTAAGGGCTGCACATGTCAGAGATGGTCATATTTGCTTTATGAATTGACAGCCACTATACACATATGAAGTTGTGGTAGGGATGGCTGTAAAGGGAATCTTGTGTGGCTTTTGACGTGAAGACTTCCCTTATTGTAAGCCTAGAACTTCGATGTGGATCTAGCGATCGGATCAAGATGATGAGCCGCCATTGGTTCAAATGATGTTTTGTGACTCTCGTGAGCGTCTCTGCTCTGACTATGGATTCTTGCGATGGAGACAGGGTCGCTTTCTATCTGATATTATATGATGTGGTTCAAAGAATACTCTCTGGAAACAAGGTCGTTATTCTTGATGAATTTAATGCTAGGATAGTGAGAGATTTTGAAACATGTACTTTGATGGGAAAGTCCAAGATCAATGGTTTGCTACTGTCGCAGCTGTGCTGGTAGATGGGTTTCCAGATCAGTAGAACCATGTTTCGTCAGACGATCACTTGGTTGCATCCTGGCTCGAAATTGTGGCATATGATCCTTTATGTCTTGGTAAGGAAACGTGACACGAAGTATATCTGTAGTGTCCGAATTGTGTGGTGCCGATTGCTGTACTGTCCACCGGTTGGTTCAAGACAAAGTTCGATTTGTGATTAAACCGAAAATTCAGGGTGGTGTTGTCAGTATTTCTAAACGGTTAAATGTAGATCGTTTGAAGTATATGATGGGGAATTAAGAGTTTGTATCTACGATGGAAGACATTCTATTTGAAAACACATGTCATGCTTTCAAGACGTCTGTTTATGTAGCCTGTGGGAAGGTGTTGGGCCACTGTGAACGTAAACATCAAGAATGGTTTGATTGAAATGTCACTGAGATTCGGCTCTTTCTGGATACTAAATCGAAAGCCTTGGTTGCCGTGTTGAAAGATGGACAAATATTCGAAGAACGTGACAGATTCAAAGCCATCAAACATGACGTGCAACGAAAACTACGCAATATGCACGACACTGGAGGAAAAAGTTGCCACCGACACCAGTGACACAAAATCATGTTCTGCTATCACGTACGGTAAGTGGATATTCTTTGCAGATGGAGAGAGCACTTTGATGAGCTATAGAATAGACAATCTGATGTTGATCTATTGTCCATCGAGTAACTCCCCTGCACTCCTGCTAAAGAAGTTCTGGCAGATACTCGCCCTCTCGAGAAGCTGCGTACGTAAAATTGAGTATTGGAAAGTCAACAGGTATCGATGGACTTCCGGCGGAAATTTTTAAGTGTGTTGGGCTTAACTTTGGGCGATTTTAAAAATAACTTTACTCTCCTCAGAAATTCGTATCTATACTGAGACGCCGTCGTGAATTTTGAAGGAATGGGAAACTGACAGAACCAATTACAATGGAATGTGGTGCGAAAAAAAAGGGATATAATTGGCACCAAATTTTATCTGCATTGTATTTCGCTATGGTGTTTAAGATGACCTTCGACGATTGTTCTGATGGTTTATACGTCCGCTATAGAACTTCCGGAAAGCTATTTTTACATCAGGCACAAATACAAAGGTCTTAATGAACCTGATTCGGGATCTGCTTTATGCTGACGATTATGTTCTCGCGGCTTATACAGAGGCTAATATGCAGCGCTTGATGGGTGCCTTTGAAAAGGTATGTGCAGCGTTGGAACTAACAATATAAAGAAGAGATTTGTTATGTACCAGACAGTACCTGCTGATCGATATCGAGAACCCATCGTCTACATATATGATCGGGAACTGAAAGTGGTCAAGATGTTTTGTGAACTTAGGCAGAAAGCTAAGCATGACTGGAACCATCGATGA